GCTGTGGTTTTTTATGTCGACCCAACCACGAGCTGAGCCCAGGCTCGCTCGTGTTCGGCTCGTTTACAACCCTAACTATAATTAATAAAATAATCAGTTAAGCTATATCCCATGCTTTTCTTTCATTCTTGAATACCCATGTAAAATAATAAGTAACTTAATTAATATGAAATCCACCAGCCAGGAAGTCGATCGACTTTACAATAAATGGATCAATAGAAGCTTTATACCAATAGAATCATTCGATTGATAGAAGCTTTCGACTGATAGATCATTGATGACGGACCTCTTGTTGGAATCGAACACTTTTCTTTGATCGGACGGCTGGTCTCCTCGATGGGATCAATCGATTCAATTGACCTGCATAACCAACTATTACCGGGGCATCTGGCGGTCGATAGACAATATATTTCTTTGTATTATAATATAATTTTTATTTAATAGAATTTAGTTATTTGGATGCTTATTATAACCGTTCCCTTCTATTTGTAATTGTGTTTTTAGACCCCTATAAGTAGGAGGCCGGGACATAAATAAAAGAGACTTCTTACTCTCTCTTGACTCTTGATCTCTCTTTTCTGTCTTCTGAGCTCTAACTATCGGGACGTGTATTTCGAAAGATGATTTAGGATTAAACATCCTAAAAGGTAATGCGGTGAGCATGGACATACCACAAATGAGAAGCAGAGCATATTACGAAGGAGAATCACAACATAAGAACTGAACACTTATGGAGCTCACAAAGAAGTGGAGAATCGAGAGATTCAGCAGTAACTCTAGGTGTTGTGGGGGCAGATGAGGGCTCATTTTGAGGCCCTTCGAGAAGCACTCTTTCGAAGGAATGATCAGACGCCGCTTATAGAGGTGAGATGTCGGGGAACTCGCCCTCTGGAGGTCCTCCTGGAGCATCCACCAGTGTACAGTGAACGTGTGAGCAATCAAGTGACCCAAGAGTAAGGAGATTACTTGCAAGTGGATAGTGTTGGATCTATGTGATGGTAATGCATTAGGTAGAACGTGTCAAAGTGCCAATTCAGCCATCCCCAGACAATGCTTTCACTCGACTGATCATGTAGGAGGTACCACCAACAAAGTTAAGGATTCCTCATTTGAATCCTTGTAAGAGAAAGAGTAACCCAGCTGATCACTTGGCCTCTTTCAAGTAAATGGTCAGAGTACTGCAGATAAACAATGAAGTGTCTCCTTTTCTTGATGACACTTAAGAAAACGACTCTTCAATGGTTTCGCCTATGTGCAGAAGCTAAGGAAAAAGTCTCAGGCTCTGCTTCAAATAAATCAAGGAGAGAATGAAAGTTTGGAGGCTTACATCACTCAATGCCAGAAGGAAATGCTGGAAACAAAGGACTTACAACCACTGATTGCCCAAACTGCTCTAGCAAAAGGGGTTAGAGACGGGCGATTCAAGTATGACTTGAATTTTCTTGAACACAATTTTTTTTCTGCGTTGTTGGAGATGACCAACAGTCACATTGGTGCAGAGGAAGCGAAGAGCCCCTCTGGGTTCAAACCAAAATCATCTGATAATCAATTAAAGAAGAGGATGACACATGATGAAGGGCAGTGGATGAAGGATAACCAAAAGCCCATCGGTCATCCACACCATAGCAATAATCAATTGCTCCAAGAAAATTGAGGCACTAGTTGAAAGTTAGACCAGTGACCAACTCAGAACTACGAGCAGACACATTTGTATCGGGAGATGCAGTGCTTCACTCCACTGAATGTTTTAATGGCAAAGTTGGTTGATGCCATTCAAAATAAGAAGTACTTTAGAAAAGTTCCTCTGATGAAACTCAGACCTACCCTCAAGAATCTGAACAAATATTACGATTACCATTGTGAGCATGGACACGAGACAGAGAAGTGTCACCATCTTCGAAAGTTGGTAGAGGAGTTGATCAAGGCTAGGAAGCTAAATGAATTTGTTGTTGTCGGAGAAAATAACCGGAAACAGGGAAAGGCTCCAGTCGAGGAGCCATCCAATGGACCTATCCGGGTGAACGAGGTTCACATAACTAGAATCATTCTGGCAATTTTTTTTTGGGAGGTGGAGAGTCAACTTGTCGACCCAGTCAAAATAGGCTTCGATCGGAAGAGGTATGTTCTGTCACTTCTTACAAGTGTAACCATCCCATCATTATTTTTATAGATGCAGATCTTCCGCCGAAAATGGACCTATATAACGATGCAATCGCTAATACTACACTAATTAATAATGATCAGATGTTTAGTATCGTAGTCGGCATTGGAAGTTTGGTGAACATCATTTTTAAAATGATGTTAAACGAGATTGCGCTGAAAACCAACTAGTTGACATCACCGACCAATCCATTATTTTGTTTCTCGGATGAGAGAAATGAGGCTTTAGGTGTTGTTGCTCTGGGCGTCTCATGGGGTGAGCGAGAAAAGAAGTACACCAACATAGATGATTTTCTGGTAGTGGAGTCTCTACCAACTTACAATGCTATTTTTAGCTAACTGTTGTTGAACATTTCATCGGAAAGTGCCTTCAACCTATCACGTGGCTGTTAAGTTTTCTAGGGATGGGGAGATCATCACTATCCAAGGGAACTTGGAGTAGTCGAGGAGTTTCTACCTTCGACCAGTCACTAGCATAGAGCATGAGCTGCTCGACAATCAGATCCAATGGGAAGGGGGTCTCGAGACCAATGATAACATCCTCGAAGTACCTGCATCCAACAACAAAGAGCCTGATAAAATTTTTCTAATCAGTAAAAGCTTTGATGCAGGGTACAAAAAATTGTTGAACTAGACCCTTCGTGAGCATCAGGACATCGGCGGAGATGCCTGGGATTTCGGTCGATGTTGCTTTTCAATAACAGAGCATTGGCCTTACAACTCGACCAGTGCATCATAAGATCCGATCAACGACCAGAACTTTAGCTGAGCCAATAACAACAGAGGTGCATAAGCTGAAAAAAGCTGGATATATCCAAGAGGACCAATACCTAACCTGGCTCTTGAAAGGGGTGATGGTTCGGAAGGCAAATAACAAATGAAGAATGTGTGTATACTTCACAAACTTTATGCAACTTGCACGAAGGACACATATTCATTGTCCAAGATCGACACACTAGTGGATGCAGCGGCCTGATACTCGGTGATGAGTTTCTTTAACTCTTTCTTCAATTACCACCATATCAAGACGCCCGACTGACATAAAGAATATAACTTTTATTATTGTTCAAGGTGTTTTTTTTTTTTGTTTTGATGTAATACCCATTGAGCTCAAAAATGTTGGGCGACCTATCGACGCCTCATGAATGTAATTTTCGTAAATCAGAAAAGAAAAAATGGTGAAGTGTATGTGCATGATGTCTTGGTTAAAATTAAATTGGTCATACAACACATAAAAGATCAAAAAAAAAGAAAAAATCATTCAAAACACTCAAAAAATACAATATGAAGTTAAATTCTTTGAAATGTACTTTTGGAGTATCGGTCGTTAAATTCTTTTATTTTTTGTTAACTTTCGAGGGAATAAAAACCAACCTTGAAAATGTATAGACAATTTTGGATATGTCATCCCCCCAAAACACCAATGAAGTTCAAAAGTTAAACAGTTGGATGGTAGGACTCAGCCAAATTATCTCTAAGTCGAGAGACAGATGTGTAACAATTTTCAAAGTGCTAAGAAAAAATCAGTGTTTTGAATGGACAACCAAATGTGAAGAGGCGTTCAAGAGTTTGAAGGAATCGTTGGCATCATCATCCTTACTTCAAAGTCTGAAGCCAACAAAAGAACTTTCGTTGTACCTTGCAGTCGGGCGAGAGGCTGTCAATTCGGTGTTGGTTAGAGAGGATGCGAGAAAAAAAATTTTGTTTATTATACCAGTCAAGTACTAAGAGGAACCAATTCAGGCACCCAATTATGAAAAAATTCACTTTGATTAATTTAGCTCACAGATACTCACCATATTTTCAAATGCATTTGATTTGGGTCATTGTCGATCATCCGCTCAAGTTTGTACTCACACAACCGGAGCATTTCAGTTGATTATTGAAGTGAGCGTTGAAACTCAGTGAGTATGATATAAATTATGTCCCTTAAGTTGCCATCAAAACTTAGGGAATCACTGATTTCCTGACAATTTTTTTCGGGTGAAGTAATTGACCGAGGGAAATATGGTCAATGATTAAACGTGAATCTTGTACATCAATTAAGCTTCTGAACAGGAGACCACTGGTCTGGGTCTGGCTTTAATCAGTCTAGTTGGGGAACATCTTTATAAGTCGGTTTCTTTGGAGTTGATGTCACAAATAATCAAGTGGAGTACGAAGCTTTGATTGTTGGGCTTCGACAGACATATGAAATAGGCGCTCGAGATTTACTGGTCAAGTCAGACTCGTAGATTATTGTAAATCAATTCAACAGGAAATTCGAGGTGAGAGATGAATTAATGGCTAAATACCTCGCCAAGCATGTCAGTCGGGAGGAGAATCATGTTGTTGATATCCTACCCAAAAACATTTGTTTGGGTGGAATATCTCAAATAATTTCTCGACTAACAATTGAGGAGCCTGAGAGTATGGCGGTGGAGGTTGGAGGAACAAAAAACTGAATGGAGCCATACAACCTCTATTTGAAGACTTCAAAGATAACAAAAGACATTACAGACTTGAGATGTTTTAAGATCAATGTTGCATTATATCTGATGATCGACTGAAAACTCTTCAAGCGGTTGGTCACTTTGGTGTACTTGAGGTTTTTGAAGGAAGATGAAGCACAGAATGTCCTCCGGAAAGCACACTCCGGAGATTATTCTTCCTATCATTATCGTATTTGTCGCCAACAAGTAGGAAAATCGGGAAACTAATACATATACTACAAAAATGCAACTAATACATATACTACAAAAATGCCAACACAAATCTCAATGAAATCGAGCATCCAGAAATGGAGACCAGGCAATTGAAGTTACAAGCTAAAGAATAGGAAATCCATCAGCCAAGAAGTCAATCGAGTTTACAGCGAAATAGATTGATAGAAGCTTTCGATCGACATAAGCTTTCGACTGACAGATCATCGACCGACGGACCTCTTATTGGAATCGAACAATTTCTTTTGGTCGGTCAACCGGTCTCCTCGGCAGAATCGATCTGAAACAGCGAAAACTTTGCACTCTTGACATAACTTCGAGAAACCTTCGTCTCCCACTGCTTTACCAAATAAAAAAAATTTCAGGCATCATTCACTCCAACCAAATGAAACTATATTGTCTTCTCAAACAAAGCCTATACTTTAAATCGTATTGCTTGGCTGTTGGTCCAAAATTCTTCATAAATTGAATGCTTTCAACACCATAGCATCATTAACTGAATAATCAGAATTTGTTCAAAAAAAAATAAAGTTTGAAATAGTTGTTTGATATAAGACAGAATAGATTCTTATCCGTATGAGTACAAATTTTCAGAACATGTCATTTACTGTATCAAATGCAACTTGGATTTCTCCACCAACAAATTAAAATTATTCTTATCAATATACTACAGTTAAAAATCAAAGTTAAACATCAAATCAGTCAACTAATGCTAAATCCAAATTAAAATTCCACTAGAGCACCAAAAAACCTTTTGTTCATCTTTAACTAGTTTGAAAAATGTAACAAACAGCACCACATCGTGCGCACTTTGACAAGGATTAAGGCATTTTACCTGTTCTTAAGTAGCACTAAGCATGTCATTAGTATAATGGTAAGATCTGTCTTTCTCTCTGACTCTCTTGGCTTGCTTTCCTCATATAAAGTAGCACCTGTATCATTTTTAAGCTGCAAAATGCATCAATGATGTAGGAAAAGAAACATTCCCAAGATGACAGATTATAAATAAAAGGTAAGATTTCAAAGTCAAGAAAAGTGGAATATTTTTTTTTTGTTTTATTTTCTACTCTGCAGTGCAAAATAACATCGTTATTGTATATTCTCGTATTGATGAGCAAGTATTTCTTCGAGTGTATTGTCCATTTATAATGATAGAATTAGAAGATTTTTTTCTCTTGGGTCGAAATACTAATTTAATGATAAGAGTAAAGTTCATTGCAATATGACAAAGATAACATCAGAAAGGGTATATATCAATCAATATTATCAGTATGGCAAAGTTAAACATGAGATCACACTTCCACTTGCCCAATTTTTACTATTCATACCACTTTAAATTAGGGTACACATAATCTTGAGTGTGAAATTTAATTTAATTTTTTTAGCAATTTTAAAATAATTTAACATGTGTGAGTGTGTAAGCTAATTATATTATATGAGAACCAAAATCAAGCATTTTTCTCACCTAAAATAATATTATCAACTTTAGTTTATCATGTGATAATATATAGACTTTATCTATTTAATTATGATTATTTTTAATACTTAATTAAGCTATATTAAGCTATATTTTTTTTTTTTTCAATAACACATAACTAAGCAAAAGAGCATTGTTCCTTCAGTCATCCCAATCATACTTAATGGCCTCCCAAATTTTCTCTACACCAAGTTATCAACCAACTTCAAATCATGATTCCTTGCAATACCAGACCTTAATTCTTTGCCAACATCAAAGATGCTAACAACATCTTATCTTTATTTATCATTGAGTTTCGGGAAATGCCACCTTTCATGACTCGTATCACTACTAATAGAACTCAATTAAATTAAACTATTCCCCCATAACATACCACACAATTCTTATGTATTAACATACCTAACACCTAAACTTTCATATTTACATGCATATCATTTAAATCCTTAATATTCATCAAGAATAACATTTTTACTTACTTCATAAAAGTAAAATACAGCTTGTCAGACATCAATTCATGACACCAAAATGTTATAAATGTAAATATAAAAATTTAGGTGTTAAACATATAAATACATAAGAATAGTGTGGTATGTACGTCAATTTCTCTTTTTTTAATAGACTTACCACATAAAAAGACATTCTATACCCTTCTCTATTTTACTAATCTAATTGTGCACCATTATTTGAAATTAAGGTGATCCAAATCTCTCCACCAGCTTAATTACTACATGCAAAAAAGAAAAAAATAATAAAAAAGAGAACTTTAGCTTTCCTCAAGCAAGACTGATTTCAATCGAGCTGCATAGAAATGTCGGCAAATGTAACTATCCATCATGCAATGTGTAATAGGATCAATAAATGGAATGAGCCTTGCAGGTTAAAATAAACTTAAGACAGATAGAAGCTATAATTCTTACGCCCATATATTCAACACAGTTTTGCAGGTTGTAATTAAGATGATGCTTAAAGACTAAAAAATAACATTTTTAGACCAGCAGAGGTAACTTGTCCGACCACCGAAAACGAAGTATATCATTAACGGCTTAACGTTTAAAAAACTAAAAATGAAAATTTATTGGCCAACATAGATGACTTGTCTGACCACCGACAGGAACTAATTTCATTGCCCGTCAGCAATCAGGGCCATGACAAACCCAGCTTCATGAACTGCACACTCTGATGTGTCGGCAACTCCAAATGCTGATTTTTTTTTCTAAGGAAATTTACGAGCATACCATTCAATTCAGATTATTTACATAAATGACACCGAAAGTTTCGTGTTTGCACTTATAACACTTGATGTCATAAATCAATGTATGAAAAAGTGTATATCATTTTTTAAAAATAGTAATGATGATATTTTTTTAATATAATATGATTCTATCTGATTGATATATGCATTGTCTATTAGCTTCAGTAAGAAGCTATAATTTGGATAAATCCAGGTAAATTACTCGTATTTAAGAAAAAATTAACTAAAACTGCCTTTTACTTCCATTAGTGGAGAACAAATCCTTACTGGTGACTGTCATGGTCCTTTCAAACCACATGAGACCGACTCTACAGACTAAAAGGCAATGCATTACATAACAGTTAGATCTTTCCGGTCCCGCATATATCTGCAGCAAAAGTAAGCGGGGGCCTAAATCCACAAACAAGAAAGACTTCCTCATCATTGAGTAAGCCACACATGCGCGTCATATCATCAGGCCAACAGTACCAAAAACCATAAGCATGGACCAATAATGTCATTTTCACTGCAGTGATTTCCTTCTGCATGAATATAGAGAATAAAAACCTGTAAATCTGTAATTGCAGCGAGGAAAACTTTCTTTTCCTCATATTTTCTCTCTACTTGCAGTAAATTGATCAGATCAGTAGCATGTAAGGAACAAAAAAATAATAATTAAATATTGTTTGCCGATGTGCCAATACAAAGAGCTAGAGTTTGTATAAACGGTTGGATACTTATCTGGTTAGCAAAAAGATTGAGTTTGAATTCTTTATACCAACGGTATCTGTAAGCTGCCATTGTATTTAGGAAGATCTATATATACACATTTCACTTGATTCATATGTATTTACATATCTAACACCTAAACTTCGTTTTATATATATGATACCTTCCTTGTGCATGAAAAATGAGTATTTCAGTTTTCAAAAGTTAAAATAATGATATTTTTTATGTGATATAAAAGATTTAGTGGTATGTATGTAAATGTCCGTTGGTAGAACAACCTCTTTGAAGATCGTAAGTCCCCTCAGGTCACAGGTTCGAACCGCCCTCTGGTCAGTTTGTCAGCAGTGAGGGCGATCCTCGAATAGTTAAGTACATAAGGGTGGTTGGGGGCTCATATAATAGCCTCCGACCTTTTTTTTTTGAATATATATATATATATATATAATATCTTCCAAACTGCTATGCTCTATAACAGTTACGGCAGTTTCTGAAATAAAATAGACATTGACGCAGTGGCCTTTTCATTCAAGATGACAAATCTAAACTTGTTTTTATGCAAATGTGGCAAAGGTTCCCCTACCCAATAAAGGGGAAGAAATAGTGCCACTCTTTACTTTTATCAATTGAGAGGTCATTCCTATCTTTTCGGTGATTTCTTCTTTATACATCATCAATCAGATTCATTTACTACAAAGCGAGGATGGAGTGGCAAAGTATTTATATCATTTTTCTATTGGATCAGAGAGAATAAAATCAAAGAACAGAAAGACTAGCTCTTCTATATACCCTCAACGTGGCTAAGGACCATTAATGCTTTTAAGGTATTTATCTTTATCCGAAACACTATCAGCTACATGTAAGGCTGCATTCAGTGTCATTGAATTGGTTCTCAAGATTGGACATAAATCAATCAGTTATATCAAAACCCAACACATTTTATATAAAGCTATTTTGCCCATTTCAAGGACCTTTTTTTTTTCTTTTTGCAGAAGATTTTCAGTGAAGACAAATAAAACAAGAAATATATTTTTTTAACTTAAACTATAATTAAAAGTGAATAGTTAGTTTGACCTTATATTTTTTTAAGAAATGTCTAGGCTACTTCATCTGCAGCTAAAAATCTGTATCTTTACAAAAGTATGATTAGAAAGTCATTTTTATCACAAATACTCACTTGAATGAAATTAATTAAAATATAAATTAATTATAATTTAAAAAAGTATGCATAAAGATAAGGAAAGAAAAACAATAACTAACTTTTAGCCACATTATAAGAAAAAAAATAAGTGTAAGACTCATAACATAGATAAGGATTCAGCATGTGGCAATATCTAAAGCCTTAGTAATAGTCAAGTCAAATTTGTCAGTGGATAATATCAAACCCTTAATAACAAGGACAATGAAACAAATTAAACATAAATTAATAAGAAAAAAAATTGGAGAGAGAAGCTCAAAGACTCCAATAGATTGCAAAAACTACAAGAATTGAATGGAAATAACTTAGCGTTTCAAGCCTTACCCCTAAACCCCCATTCATAAGTCAAGCCATGATTTGGCCCTAAAAAAAGAAGATGCACTTGAGCTATACCAGTGAAGTTATGATCCCTTACTATAAAAATACATGAGATGTGAGGCCAATAATATATGAAAATACATATAGATAATTGGTGTAAATTATGACTGAATCATGTTAATAGTTAGCTGAAATCATGTCTTGAGGGAAGCACCCAACTTTCTCGGTAAAATGCTAACGAGCACGATCTGGTTGAGCTACCATGAAAAAAAACAAATAGAGTATTATTTTATAGCCGTGGCAAAGTTTATACTGAAATTGACAAGTTAATATTGAAATTGGCTAGTTTGCAGTGAAACAAGTAATTTTATAGTGAATTTGATGAGTTTATATCAATCATGGCTGATTCATGAGTTTTGATGAGTTCACGTTGGGTTTGTCGAATGTATTGCTTCTATCCTTCTAATTTGGCCTAGTAATAAACATATAGAATGTATCAATGCTAAGTTATAAACATGCATATTGCATAAAAAAGATGGGGATGCACTAAATTAGGCCCAAGCTTGCATCTTCATCCCAAGAGCAAATGCCAAGCCCGATACAAAGCCCGAAGTGGACAAGATCTCAACTATTTGGAAAAAAACTCACCTTTGTTTTTTTTTCGATTGAAATATGACTTTGATCATTAAATATGCAATAATACGCATACTTTTGACTGAAACATCATCTAAAAGATTTTATTAGCATTGACTTTTTTGAATTGTAATGACTTTGCGATACAAACTCGTGTGTTCAGATGTATTTTAAATATGTGAAATAGTCATGATATTTTTGAATTTATCATTAAATTATTGGTAATTTTTTTGAAGATAATTTAAATTTCTTTATCATTAAAATTTTTATTTTGCACATTGATGAGGCTCAATACTTCAAGAATATTCAAGTTGCTCTAGGAATTTTTTCTGCTTTGCTAGGTACTTTA